AAAGGTGGCTCCTCTCCACCATGTCAGTCAACGGTGAGCTTCATGCTGCTTAACCCAGTGCAGCTCCAGGGAACGACTTAAGAAAGGCTTATCCTAATTGGGGCTGCCAACATAATCTCCCCTAATCAAGAGTGTTTTATAGTGTTGTATAACTGCCACAATGCCAGCAAGGCTGTGACAAGAACCAGCTGAATTTGTATTCACTGTTAAACAACACAGGGGAAGTGAAGTTGATCAAGGAACAAGGACCGGAAAAAGAAAGAGAAAAACCGTCTTCCTATGCAAACCAAAGACTAGGACAGTTTTAGTCCTAACTATCATTAGGAACTGGGGCCAAGATACAGCTGGTTTGAAAAGTGTTGTAGAACAGCCTTTTTTAAAGAAATGACTTTTGCTTATGTTAACCTGAGAACTGTAATAACAAACCCAGAGATAAATAAACAATAAACACAATGGCTTCAGGTTCCTGCCAAATGAATTTCTTCCTTGTCATGTGTGACAGGTGACAAGTCTCTCTGTTGGAACATTAGAGACTGATGGACTTTTTACAGTCATTGAAGTCATCATTGTTATTTCTGATATTTAATTAATACATTACTTTTTATTCACTGGTACTTTTTTACCAGTTTTTCTATAGCTTTGTCATTTCAACTGATTTGATCTACTGATATGAAAGACAATCAAAATCATGGAGTGACACAGGCACATACACTGGAAAATAATCAATGCTAATGAGCAAATTGTTTTTCATTGCCAACCAATGATGTCATTGAATTAAAAATTACCATAATTTAGTTTTCCTGAAAGAAGCCAAGATATGATCTTCCACCACTTCTTACAAGCAGAACTGTGAGAGAGTTTACATTTGACATTGGACATTGTGCAGAGTAATTAAAAATGGTACTGCTGCCAGCTTTAAAAAAATAGCAATATTTTAGGTTTTCTTTGAATTAAAAAAGTTAACCTTACTGAAGATTATTTAATTGTTGACAGTTAACTGTCACTTATGTCACATATGTGATGTTTTTGCAAATGGATGGTCGGGTGAGTCACGGATTTACCTTCAACTTCCTCGTGGAAGTCATTTCTAAAATCAAGAGAAAACTGAAAGAAATACCGCAAGACAGACTGAAAAACATATTTTTCTTTGAAAGTGACCTAAATGCACAACACATAAAACCCAATCGATCTGCGCTGCTGCAAAACGTTATCTTTCAGTAACAGGGAAAGGGAGCAATATGATACCAGCAGCAGCAATAGTCCAGTTAATCCTTTGCTGCACATGGAGATGCAGACATGTGTTACAGCTGTATCAAACATGCTTTGTCTGTAACAGGAACAGGAACTTGTATTCTCATGCAACATGTTAGGAACGCGTGACAGATCTGACTGTCTAAACAGAATACAAAGTATAATATTCTGCCCTGCTTGGCTTTCATCACTGTTACAGCTAATCAAGAGAACAAAAAGTGACTTCATAATTATCCTGCGAGAAGCATAAAAGGTGTAATTTGTAAATCCTGTGTAGGGGGAGTTAATGTTTTGCCTCTTTCACGTTTTTACATTTGAAGGAAATGTGATATATCTTTTTTGTGAAGATCAAGATTTTTTTTATAAAGTCTACCTTTG